CAGCGGCTGCCACTCTCCCGGGCCCGTCTGGAGCTGGAGAGGCGGCGGCGGCTGTGGCAGCGACGCGCTTTCCTGGCTGCGTTTTGTAATGGTCCCGGAGACGCCGAGACCCCCGCAGCTCGCGCTTCGAGACTATCACATGACCGAGGCTGAGGGACTCCGCCGCCGCGTCTCTTGCTGAAGAAGGGGCGAGAAGACGCCGTGCCTCGCCCCCGCCCCCTCCTCCATCTCGGCGCGGGCGCCCCCACCCCCAGCATTTACCACCCGCTCCGCAGCCCCCAGCCGCGGCCGAGTGGGGCGGGGGGCGCAGGCTGTTCTCAGGGAGGGGCACGGCGCCCGGTGCCGTCCCCGCCGCTGCACCCCACCCGCGTCGCGACGCACTTCAGAGAGGGGCAGGAGACTGCTTTCTCGCTCCTCTCGTGCATCTCCCGCCTGTCCCCGCCCTTTCAGTCGTCCCTCTACCCACCTACCAGCTCTGGGCTTCTTTCTCCTTACACTGCCTTCCTCCTGGACTAGCCACTCTGGGCCAAGTTCGCAGCAGCGTGGCCTCAAGGTCTCTTCTCTTCAAGAAATCCCAAAGGCCGGAGGGTTGGAGGGAAAAGCTAAAGCGGAGGAGACCCAGGGCCGTTTTCGCTAAATGTCAACTTCATCACAATTTTCTTGCGCGCCAATTGAGTGTCGGGCCCAATGATAGGCGCCTGGTACAGGGAAGTCTGGGACAGCTCTCTGCGCTCCAGGACCGCAGTCTAGTGGGAGAGACTGACAGTAACCGGGAAATTTGGGTAAATACTAAGGGCTTGGTGGATGCAGGCTCCATTAAGAGCGGATGGATGGGACGGGGTGAAGCGTTTCTTTGGGTGCTGACGTCTGAGCTGGGGCCAGAAGGAGGGCTTGGGGGGGGTCAGAGGTCCCATCACCTGGGTGTGTCAGAGCGGAGTCTTGCTATTCTGAGCACGTCGAGGGAAAGGGAGATCGTTAAAATTAAGTAGGAGGTCAAAATGACCAATCCACAGGGCCCTGCTGTGACCTGTGAGGGTGGATGAACTGTAGCGCTGAGGTCCCCGTGCTTGCTGGGATCCCGGAAGCAGTTTCCTGCTCTGCAGTTTCCTGCACACCCATGAGCGAATCCCAGTTGACTGGAGAGAACCTGCAGTTATAGTCTGATTTCGGCTGCCTTTGCCCTTAGGCTGGAAGGAAAAGCAGAGTTTAGAAGAAGGAGAAAAAATATATATATACCCTCTTCCCATCTCTAGGCCTGTTTCTTTATTTGTAAAATGAGATGTCTGAAGTTGGAAATTTCACGGGTCCCTTCTAGTTCGCAGATTTGAGGAGAAAGCAGCAACTAGGGACTGTAACTCATTCTGTTTTTAATTTCTTCTTTTCTGTGCCTAAATCTGGAGGCAGAAGGCCGTTGGCCCAGACTGCACAGGAGACTGCCCCTCGCTCTCCAACCTTGGTTGGCAACGCCAGGTCGAGTGTTTTTAGCTTCCGACGTTTGGCGAGCTACCCGAGGGGAGGACCAGAAGAAGGGCTGTTTGCCCGTCGGGTCGCCGGAGTGCGGTGAGCGGAACAGATTCATAATATTAATCTTTAGGCAGCAGCTGGATTTCTGGCTAGTGCTATTTGGTTAGTTTTCCTAGGCCAGCAGACGTTTTAGAATAGGCGTTAAAGGGAAGCGTGCAAAAGGGCCCCGGGGCGAAAGAGCAGCCTCTTGGCCTGTCCTAAGGAAAGGAGACCCTTTGAGAGGAGGATGCTTTCGCTGACGCTCCACGCCGGGAAGGCTCCTTCCGCCAATGGAGTTTTCTGCGGGATTTTTGGTCTGCTGAAGCAGTTTAAGGAACCAAGCAGCAGACGGCCTCCTGGCCTCACGAAGCCATGGAGGAATTACGAGGACGCCCACAGCTCCAGTGACAGCTAGAGCCCGCTGGCGCCGGGTGTACCCTTCTACTTTGACGGACGCGGTGCGAGAACAGCCCTGTCCAGGCCCAAGAGCCGCCCAAAGGCTCCTGGTGGGAGCTCGGCGTGCCCAGCGCTCAAAGGTTCTTCCGGCCCTGGCCCTGCACGCAGCGCGGGCAAAGGCAAATTTTGTTGAGAATATCTTTTCCGCGGCCTCCCGAAAAAGCAGTGCCTCCTCATTGGGAGCAGCTTGGGGACGTTCTCGTTGGGCAATTGGACTCCGCTGCATCTGGGGAACAGCATGGGAAGGGGCCCTTGAAGGGTGCCCCGGACCAGCCTCATGCTCATAACCTCAACACCAAAGCTGGAGTTGGGCTCTTGCTGGGTAAGCTCGTTCCAGCCCACAGATCTGCCGCCACCATCTCGGGCTCGGCGCCTGGGGACGCGAGTCGCGTGACCGGCGCCTTCGGCCTCGGCGAGCCAACGGCGTTCGTCTGGCAGAGCAGCTCCCCGCAACTCGGACCGAAACACAGACGCGGAGGTCGAGCGGTGCGCGGCAAGCCTCAAACTTCCGCGTTCCGGGTGGACTTGTCAAGGGTAGAAAGTCCTCCCCCGCACTGCAGCCCCAGGGGGCTGCCGCGGCCCAGGCCCCAGTCTCGGCGGAGAGCGCGGCCCCGCAGCGCCGGCCGCGTGTCCATTTCGGAGTCGGGCCGCCGCCGCGGAGTATTCTGGGGGATTCCCGGCGGGGCGCGGGGTCTGGCAACGGAGCTCCGGCAGCGGTGGGGGGCGCGCTCTCTCTTTTTCCCCCTTTCCCCCGAGGTTGATTTAATTCCGGCAAGTTTTGCAGGCGCGCAGCAGCACCGGCGGGGGCCGGTACGCGCGCGCTCCAGCTGCCTGCAGACCCCCGTTCAAGAAAAACAGATCAAGTAACCACCCTGGCATCAACCAGTCGGTTTCAAGTTTCCGCGTGTAATTTTTTATTTTTTAAAACAACCAGTATGCTATACAAATATTGGCTGGCGTTGAGGACGCTGGCAGGCAAATCATCGCCCCGGGCTTGGTGTAATTATCTCAGGCGTATTTGGTTTATCCCTTAGGCAATTGTTGGCGACGCTTTGCTAGGAAGAGGGGTTCCATGCAAGGTTTTATTGCGTTTAATTGGCTCTATGGAGGGGAGTAAAAATTTGCCAGAAAATGATGTGGAACTTTAGAAGCGGCTATTTATTCATTCTCTCTCCTTTATCCCCCCAGCCCCGAGGAAGGTCCCACGCACCCCTCAGCCTGGGTCTAAGCCATGCGGTCCCAAAGCTTCCGCGGACAGCTGTGCCCAGCGTGAGGAGGAGCGCAGGGCACCGACGCGGCTAGAACGATGTGCAGGACCAGGAAGAAGGTAAAAGTTCATGCGCACACCTCGATTTTCCTAGGTTCTTTGTTTACCCACTGACCTTTGACGTGCGGAAGGTTGCCTGGGTTAGTTACGTTTGGGATTCTCCCAGGCACCTTTACTGTCACCCCATCCAGCCTCTCGCCTGACCTCCAGCTGACTCCAACGCCCATGCATTTCCCAGCCGCTACCCCTAACCTGGGCTTGAAGCGTGTGGCAGAATGCCGGCTGGGGGTCCGGGACACGTGGTTTCCAGCCCTAACCCTGGCACCACCTGCTGGTTGACCTTGGGCTTTATTTCCCCCCCCCCTCCCCCAAATAAGCAGGAGTCTTAGGAGCTGAGGTTTGAGGTTGTGATCCCGACCCGCGGTGTGTCGGGGGCCTGGGCATACGGCTCAGGGACCTCAGGACCCGTGCAGCCCGGGATGATGTGGGGCAGCAGCGTCACGGCGTACTGGGAAGCCGTAGTCTCTAGCGTTGCCACCGACCCCAATATTTCCGACTGGTCCAGCCCCGCGCCTGGCCCAGCAGGCGCCGTGGGGCACAGGTGTTCGCTCCAGCCCTACTTGGATTTGTGCGTAGAGGCTTGATTTGCCTTTCTGGAATTTCTCCGACTCCCCGCGGACAGAAAGCAGAAGCAAGAACACTGAGCTTAGGGCTATTTCTTTCTTAGAGAAAAAAGCACTGGCCTCGAATTTATGAGATGAAACTCGAGACCCAGTCCTGCCACCGGCTGGCTGTGTGATTGCCCCCTCTCTGGGCCTCAGTTTCCTCTTCTGTAAAATGGCCATAACCCATAACCAGAAGGTGTGATTATGAGCAGTGATATAGAATATTTTCA